GCATCTTCCTACACTGTAGGTAGTTAATCACACTAAATGGCCTCGCCCTCATAAAGTGCATAATTAAGATAGTACCCAGAACTCAATTTTTGCTATTATTGTTCATATTATGCTCTGTACTAAGGATTTTAAATTGATGATTTTATGTAATCCTCATAACAGCCTAAGAAGTCATTATTTTTCCCATTTTGCAGATGAGAAAACTGAGGTGTAGAGGGGTTCAGTTACTTGCCCAAGATACAGTTGGGAAGTGTCTACCGGGTTCCAGCATCCATGTGGTTAGTTGTTACAGTCCAGTGCTCCATGGGTGTGTCTGTGTGTGTAGATGTGCAGGCAGAAGTGTGCTCATGAGATCCACAGCACAACCTGTGGCTTACGTCCTTGAGAAACAGAAATTCCTTTAAGGCCTTTTGGAAAAGTAATAACAGGCTACAAGATGAGTTGTCTTTCCTTCTGATTGTGCTATTGACTTTTTAACAAATAGAATATGAATCAGACTGATTCTGCATTAAATGATTTCTAAATTATTTACCTTCTTGTTCATGTAAGGTGGATAGGCACTATTTCTGTTAGTTGCCCAAGTCCCTAATTTGCAAGGCATCTAAAATTTCTCTTTCTGTCTTAATTTCTAGAACTTAAAGTCAACCTGACTGTCAAACAAAAGTTTAATATGTGTGTGCAACTTGGGGTACAGTTTTAGTTATTTCTATTTTAAAAGCTAATTGATGTTTTTTTCTTCAGAACCACAGCTTATACACCTTTGGAGAGCTGGACTGAATATGGGGGGTATAGAGATTTTGGATAAAGGGGAAACCCATAAGGAATATAAAAATAGCCTTCTCCTCTCTGGATTGTTTTAGGAGTCTGGCTACCTCTCAGGTGGCAGCATTAGTCCCTCCTTGTCATAGCCCTCTTGGAGCTGCCACCTGCTGCCTGAGCTCTTGGGAAGCTCTCCAGACTTCATGTACCTCTGTTGCCCCACTCCAAAACACTGACTTTGGTCCCCTCCTCCCAGTCTCTTCCCCATCAATGAGCCTAAGCTTTTGCAAACAAAATGGGGGATTGCCTTCCAGAAAATTCTGCTTCTGGCTTTATATTGTAAAAATGCCTGAGGAAAGTGTACAGAGGCTCAGGTATAGTGCACCATAAAAGACAGTACATTGTAGCTCCTCTGCTCTTAGACTGCAGTGAATTTTTCAGATAAAATACCCAGCCCACACTTCTTTGGGTGGTGGGAGAGGGGATGGGTGGTGATCACTTTGGCTTTTGTGGGTAAGTGGTCCAGGCTTATACAGTGTGCTCAGGACCCAACTCTCAGTTTGGCCACCTCTGTCTGCTCTGTCCTCAGTCAGGCTTCCTCCATGGTCACTGGCTGGCTGCCAGCAGTTCTGAGGACCACATCCTTCACATGGGCTCTGAGAGTCTCACCCTATCACGGCCCAACAAAATTTCTGGACTTCACTCCAAATGGACCAACTTGGATCATATTCTCTTTTCTAAATCAATGACTGCATTCGGGGAATGGGTTTGTGTGGATTAGCCTAGTCCTGTGTGAGTCACACTGTCCTGTGGGATTCTCAGGGGAGGGTTCCCAGTGAAGATCAGAGTGGGAGAGACAAAGACTGAGTGGCCTCAACTTCAGTAGATTGGTGTCCACCAAAAGTGAGAAAATAATACGTATTTAAGGGAGAACCATAACCACAGGTTAACCTCTCCACAGATGATTTTGCCACAGGGCCAGGATGGAGGCATGTGTGCACAGGGGACCTGAGTGTGTGGGGGTGCTAGACCCAGTGGGGTGGTGGAGAAGCTTTCCTGAGAAGTGATGTCCTTCGTGTCTGAGCTGGACAGCCCTGAAGGAAGCAGCCAGGTGGAGAAGGGAGGAAGGTGTTCAAGCAGAGGAGACAGTGGGGGGCTGGGTGTGGCGTGGAACTTCCTTAACAGGGCATGTCCAGCAAACTGCCTGAGGGTTCCGTGTGGCTGAGTGAAGGTCGGGAGGTCAGAGGGAGAGGATGGGCAGGTGGCAGAGGCCGATCATCAGGAACATGGTCAGCCACTGGAATGTAAGCAGCAAGAGGGCAGAGACCTGTTTGGGTTCACTCCTGTGAACTCCTGAACTGGGTTCAGACTGGAGACCAGTGTCTGGCACATGGCAGGCTAATACATTCTTGTATGAATGAAGGAGTGCCTTGCTAAGTAGCTTCTATTCTATTCTCAGTGTAATGAGCAGTCACTGATGGATCCTGTGAATGATACTGAAGTGTATGATTTGTGTTATGAAGATCAAATGAGAGAATACACATGGAGGTGCTTTGTAAAGTGGACCATGCAAAAACAATGCAGTTCTCATTTGTGCATGTGAAAAGGCTCCTAGCTGTCTTGCCAGAGGCACACGGTGAACAATGCTTTTTCCCCATGACCTCTTGTCATTGCAGACTGTCCGAGGCCTCTCAGAGTCAAGAACGTATGTTTTGGATGAGAGTGATATGAGGGTATCTAGCAGATGCTCAGGAGGTGAATGAATGCATGAAGCAGTGAGCGAATCAGTCCACATTTACTTATTCCCCAAGTGTTTATTGAGTGCCTGCTCTGGGCAGCCCCTGTTCTAAGCCCTGTTCTACTTTTGGAAGTTTTAATCCAGCTGTCTCAATTCTCAGTGTCTGCTAAAGTGTAGTGGATTTACTCTTCCCTCTCCCCGTTTTAGCAGTCTCTGCTTTCTCCATGTGCTTTTGGCACTGGTGACAGGGATGGTGTCAGCGTGTGCTGACGGAAGGTGGGAGAGCTGATGACACCCCCCTCTTTTTTAAACCTCCTGCTACTTAAAACCTGCCCTGCCCTCAATCAAGTAAGGTATTTTATCAAATCAACCCTATGCAGTATCTAGTCAGCTACTGCTGGTTCTCAGCTTTCCACAGCTGGGCCCTATTGTCCAAAGCTGCATTCTTTGCACTCTTTATAGATTTTTTTTTTCCAGTTTATTACACTTGTGGTTCCTTTTCCTTGGTTTATCTGCTGTCATTTGTCTCTCAGGCACCCCAGGCTTGGATGATACAAGTGTACAATCCATGACTTTGGTGTTAGGCTTCTGGTAGACTCCAAATTCCAGGTCATTGAGTGGTCTTATTGCCTTAGCCCATTTTCTGTTGCTATAGAAGAATACCCGAAGCTAGGTAATTTATAGAGAAAAGAAATTTGTTCCTTAGAGTTTGGAGGCTGGGAAGTCCAATATCAGGCAGCCACTTCTGGTCAGCTTCTGGTGAGGGCCTCATGCTGCATCATGAC